AGAGGTCGGGGTCGCGCGGGCGCCCTGAGGCAGCCGAGGGAGGGCTCTCCCCGCCTTGGTCTGCGCACCCAGGTGCCGTGCCAGGGCTGCTGAGCGGGGCGTCGGAGTCTGTTTTTCCTGGAAGATGGAGGGCGTTAGGTAAACTGCCTCCTTCTGCCCCGGGTACGGCAGCCCCTCGGTGACGGGGAGCGGGTCCGTCAGGAGCCGTGCGGCGGCGGGCGCTGCGCCGCAGCCGCTTCGAAAATTCCTGTCGGGAAAGGACGGGAAAGCTGCAGGCAACGCTGCCCGCTCCGCTCGGCGCCGGCGGGCTTCTGGTGTATCCTGCAGCAGCGCAGGTTTGATAATGCATTGCCCTTGTACGTTCAGGTGGCTTTATCTTTGCACTAAAGCTTCCTCACAGCCTGGCCAGTAGTGCTGCAGACGTTGTCGCATTTTAAGGCAGCATTTAAACCTTGCTTGGGTTTGTATTAATGGCATACGTGGCTGTAACGTAGTTACGGGTTAAATCCTTCTGCCCCTCAAACGGCAGCGCTTTGTGAAACGAGAGATCTGGGAATTGCGTGAGTGACGCCAGGCATCACCCTGTTGTTACAGCTTCCATCGTCTCCAGCGCGTGACCGTGTACGAGAGCACTGGCCTCCCTCGGTCTCCACGCTGGCTGCCGTCTCGGTCGTCATGAGTCCGTGTGCCCAAAGTGCCTGTTGACCATCCAGTGTCGTCTTCGAATGTACCCGGTCAAGACTCAGCATGTGCTGCAGGAATCCTCTGTGTCTGACTCCTAGAAATAGAGTAACTGGATAAATCTGCTGGAATGATAAAGAAGTCAAGTGGTTAAATTGAGTTAAAAGGTCAATGACCATTGAGATGAACTCTCTTTATAGAAGTTGGGCAGGAGGCAATTCTGTGACCATAAAAACCATTTCATAGCAAAATAAAGCGAATATAAAAGTGAAATCAAAGGTAAATGTGGATAGAGCTTTGGAAGTGGTAGACCAATGCACTGTTTTATTGAGAATGAGATACTTCATTAGGTTAACTTTCCAAAATAGTACTTCACATAGAGACTCATAATTAGTTTTGAGAACAGTTTAAAAAAAATGCCGCGACCTTTAAAATAACGCTGGTACATCTACTACATATATTAATGATTTATGATAGAGTATTTATGATCAAATGTAAGTTTTAAGCTTTGTAATTGAAGATAATTGCTTTAATGAGATTTTCTGTAATTGTAACATTGTGTCTAATACCAATCATTATACGATTTAAAAACCCTCTGGAGAAAATCTTAGAAATCTTAGTGAGCGCTGCACATCTCATTTTCCATGCATTGGGCTTAAATTTGTACCCTCTGTGCCTAATTTGTTGTTTTCTTTAATTGATGTTGTTGCATGAAATTTTTCCTTTTTGGTCATTTGATACCCTGATAGAGATTGGTCGCCTAGCTATCACCTCTCTGTAGGATGTTGTTAAAAAAGATCTTCATGTTGTCAGGTTAAAGAGCGGGTAAGTACATTCTAGACTAGCATGCTGATTGATTTGCATCTTCATGGTTTTGAGGTATGCGATTGCATGGTGGTACGGTAGAAAGCTGATTTGACCAACTATGTAACAGTCTGTATTGCCACTTTCTTTGGTTCTTTTTGATGCTCCGCTATTTTAATTACTGAAACTGCAATTTTTAAAAGTTTCTCTGCAGGTGGAATGCCTCCTGTTCCTCAAGTGGCTCAACAGATTAGCCAGGAGCAAAGCCAACAGCAAAATGGACCAAACTTGTCAAGTTTGCATAGTTCCTTACCTGCTCCACACAGCAGGAACACAGCTTTTCTTCAGCAAGTACAACCAGCAGGCTGTGTTAAGAAGCACGTGCTTTCGGTCCCAACTCCAGTTCCTGTACAGCAACAGGTATCAGATTTGCATATTATATTGTATGCGGCTTTGAACGGCTGGTTTTTGTGTATTGTAATTGCTGTTGTCGTCTATTCTGCACCATTAAATAGTCTGTCTGAATACTGGGAAGAGAGTATCCTCAGAAAACAGAGCGGTAACATGTGTCTTGTTAAGAAAATCTAGACAAGATTAATTTTTGGCACTTTACTGCCACTTTCTCTGGAAGTTTTACTTCTGTGAAGAACGTATCTGTTCATTTATGTCATTTGCGATGGCTACCCAACTCTCAGTTTAAATGCTATTGTGCTGGATTTTCATTGAATCATAGAATCATGGAATCACAGAATAGTTTGGGTTGGAAGGGACCTCTAAAGGTCATCAAGTCCAACCCCCCTGCCGTGGGCAGGGACATCTTCAGCTAGATCAGGTTGCTCAGAGCCCCGTCCAACCTGGCCTGGAATGTTTCCAGGGATGGGGCATCCACCACCTCTCTGGGCAACCTGTGCCAGTGCTTCACCACCCTCAGCGTAAAACATTTCTTCCTTATATCTAGTCTAAATCTACCCCCTTTAGTTTAAAGCCATTAATCAAATGAATGAATCAAATGAATCAAATTCATTTCATGCTTCAAAGCATTTTTCAAATGTGTCTGGAAGGTTGCAGGTAAGTAAGTTACAAGGTGCAGCAAGAAGGAGCAGCGTGCTAACCTCTCACTGTGTCCGGGCAGTGTTGTCATCTGTGTTTTGTATTGAGACTTCGTGGATGACAGAATTTATTACTCCGACCTGGGGAGAAAGGAGCAAATATTTTCAGTAGGTTTTACAAAAGACTACCACGCACTAATAATTTGCTTCAGATAGCTGTTCTGTAGCACAGCTGGGTATAAATCTTTCTTTACAATAAAACTTTGTCTTCATTTAAATTTAGAGTGCGCTGTAGATAGCTGTGTCTCTCTCTTGGTTTTAATTGGTGGTGTGAACATGCCGTATGATTTTTCTTGAAGAAAGAAAAGGAATGAGAAGGAATCAGGCAGATTCTCTAGCAAAGTAGAATTTGTTCTCGTAATGAAATCCTAAAAGGAGATTTAATTAAACAGAAGCAATTATTTTAACATTTTATGCAGCATATTTAGAACAAGGTGGGGGAAAAACACAATGAGAATTTGTTGCTTGTGCTTACTTGCCAGCGGTTGCAGGACACTTACATGTGTTAATAAAAATGCCATAAATTAAACGTATTTTTATATGAACTTTGTAGGGAATTCTGTCCATCTGCCACTTGGCAGGGCATTTCAGTTCTGTGGAAATTCTCACTGAATCAGCCCTGCTCTTCTGATGAGATATAGAGGTACCATATTTTAGGAGGAAAAAATAAAATTCTAAAGACTGATTACCACTGCATCCCAAATTTCTCTACTGATTTTACACAATACCGCTGCATCACAAAGCCCTTCAGAGACTCCACATAAATCTGCACAAGATGTGTTATTCATTAACTTTTAATAAAGTGCAACTTCAAACAGTGTAGAATGTTTCCAAGGACTGAATAATCATTTCTATTGGTTATTCATGAAACATTTTTGAGAGTGTCTCTGTCTTGGTTTTGTGTTGTGCAGTAGGAAACATAAGTTTAATTATGTTTACTTGAAGGAAAATGAGATTCTGCAGCAAGTAACAGCACTGAGGAGGGAAGGTTTATGGCCTCTGAAACGTCTGCCCAAACTCCAAGAGGCCCCACGGCACAGATCACACCATGACTATCTTTTGGAAGAAACGCAGCGGATGGCAACTGATTTTGTTCAAGAAAGAAGGTGGAAGATAACAACTGCCAAGAGAGTAATGTGAATTTGGTATTTTCAACCAGAAAGGGGGGAAGAATAGGCAGCATTTTCATGGTTAGGATGTGGTCACTGAGGATGCGCGAGTTTTGGTTTCCCTCTCCACTGTGTTTGTAAAGTTTGGGCAGTTCTCCTAAAGGGATCGTATTTTTTTCTTTCTTTAGAAATATGCTTGTTAGAACAGGGTGAAAACTTACAACAATTTTACGGTTTTATTCAGCTGATTTTAAGTGTGGCTCGTCATCACGAGGATATGATACTTCATAAGGAAAAATGCAAGAAAAGAGAAGAGAAGCAACTGAGGACTGTTGCTGCTTTTACTGCTAGAGAAATTGAACATTTCTGGTCCACCATTAAACAGGTAAATGTTAAAAACAGAAAAAAAAAATCTAAAGAGGTACTGAATAAAAACCTGTTGGACCATAACAGCGAGAATCTTACAACTGAGCTTTGCTCAGCCCACGTGGTGACTGTTACCTGTTGGTAAAGATAGCTTCACGTTACGGTTGCGTGAATAATTGCAGGCCTTATGTGTCATGGAGGAGAGTGCTTCACTAATCCTCGTTGGTGCAGCTGGCTCGCTGCGGACATTTATGTTTTGATGTGAGTTATTCTTGGGTAGCTCTCGCTTATTATGTGGATGACTTCTATTCATGGTCAGTTTTGTACACGCTGTTCTGTTCTTCGAGTGCTCTGCATTGTAGCCGTGTCTGATGCCTGTCTTACTGTTGAAGGAATGTTAGGTAATCCGTAGCTGTATTTGAAGCTAAGTGCGTTCATGTTTGTCATTTCCTTCTGCTCTTTTCCCCCCCTACACTCTCTCCATTTTAGGTGGTAGATTTAAAACTGCAAGTAGAGTTAGAAGAGAGGAGGAAGAAAGTATTAAACTCACAGAACATCTCAGAAAAAGGTAATAAGAACCTAGGACTTTTTTTAGCATGACCTTTTTTTTTTTCTCTCTTTTGCGTACCAGTAGTATTAGTATAAGCTTACCAAAATAAATGTTTAGGAGCTAGTGTTTTGGTCTTAGTTTCGAGTCATAAATATCTCCTTTCTTGAGCTTGCTAACTTCCTGTAGCTTACTAAAGCTTTGATGAACGCACTGTGAAGGCTTTTTGTTGCTGAGCTCTTGTTTGTATTGGGGTTTAGTTTTATGTCCCTTGGGGGCCATGCATTAGACTGAATTCACTAAAACTATCATGTGGGCACCTGTGTCCCACTGCAGTTTGCCCTTGGTCACGTAGTCAAGTTTGATAAACTGGATTTTGCATTATTCTTACAGTGTTCAGAATTCTTCTGTTCTTTAGACCCTGGCTTAGCTGTAAAAGGCATCAAATTTGTTAATGAATTATTCATCTCGGATATGGCGGCACCACAATTTTTATTATTTTGTGCAGAAATAAGAGACTGCTTGAATAAGAAAGAGAGCCTTCAGAAGGAAGTGGTGCTTCCAGATCTTCTCACATCTACTGTAAAGAAATACATGGGAGATTTAGCAGACACCGCTGCTGTTGCGGAAGCGTTGTTACCCAAAGGCAGTGCTCAAATCACAACAGTAGTAAAAAGTGATGCTCCGTCTTTATGGTGCGGCACTCTTGGAGAGTATCAGAAGACTGGACTAGACTGGTTGGGAAAGCTGTATAAGATGAACCTCAGTGGCATTCTGGCTGATGAAGCTGGACTTGGAAAAACAGTGCAAGTTTTTTTTGCACACCTGGCATGTAATGAAGGTATGAAATATTGTAGATCTTTTATTTTATAAATCTATATTTTTAACAGTTCATTAGTGAATGTGTTTTCAGTAAGAGGAAAAAAAATTGCTTTTAATATGTATCGCTTAAAGAAATGTACCTGGAATAAATTTTATAAAACAGGATACACAATTCCTTTCATTGTTAGTGCATGTGTATGTTGTTTGTATATACACAATTGCCTTTTCTTGTAAGTTCTGAAGCGGTATGCAGTCATTTCCAGTCATGCTGTACCTTTTATCTCTACAGGTAACTGGGGTCCTATTCTTGTTTCACGAAACTTTAATGTGCTGAAGTGGGAGATTGAACTGAAATACTGGTGTCCTGCTTTGAAAATTCTTCTGTATCTTGGGAACCCAGGAGAACTTTTTAAAAAAAGGCAGGTATTGTGGAACGCTGTTTCATCTGCACATGTACTGGGTAACATAAGCATTACACAGAAAGAAATATCAGCCCGAGTCACAGTTATACCATTGTAGTTAAAAACTTCAGTATAGTGATATCCCAACCTGGTTCTTTTCTCTTTTGTTATGTAGCATACTGGAAGAATGAAGACATTTCCTCATTTCATGAATGCTAGTTCATAAGCAGAGTTTGGTATTTACCAATAAAATCTGCTTTGATGACCAGCAATGTCTGGCTAGCCTTTTTAAGTTGTGTGTATATACTTACTGCCATGATGTCCCTTTGCACAGACGTTTTTGACTAGTACCTAGTCTCCGTATGGGGAAACTCACATCTTTGCTCCAGTGACTTGTACCTCATCTTAGTATTTGCAGAAGTTTATTAAGAAAATGTGTCGAATTTAGCCATTTTTTGGATGAGAAATTGATGCGTAATCCAGAAGAAGCAACAGGAAGTTTGGTGTGTGTTTTGTAGCTTGGAAGCCATGTATGTGTTTTCAGGCTTCAAAACTTCACTAAACTGATTTGCAAAATATGCTTCTTCCTTTTTTTCCCCCCCTCTATTTTTTGTATTTTCAACTTCCATAGTTACAAGGAACTTCTTGGGTTCCTCCATTAATGCTTTTACAACATACAACTTTTATCCCTCCTTTTGGGATGATGTGTATTTTCCAGTTACTTTTCAATTTCTTTCTTTATTGGAGTCCTTCATATAATCTTAGATTTACTAGCAATTTTTCACTTCTCTCTTAAGTTTGTAGAATTGGGCCATATAAATCATGTCATAGCTTTTTCTTGCCTTGTGACCTGAGCAGAGCAGAAGAAAATTAACGAAATTGCCTTAGCTTTGAGCATATTTATTCCTTTAGTTCTGCGACTTTTCCTTTCATTCTTGCAATTTTATCTTTGTGTCTTGTGTTTCTAATTTTTCATTTGCCTTTGAAAGTAAGTATTAGGATGTTAATTCACACATTTGACAGCTTCTGCGGTCAAGTCCATAATAATTTTGATACTTCTGGGTAGAATTCACCTAAAGATTGCCACATACGAATCTTAGAGATCAGAATTTATCCATTCAGTATGAATACTATTGATAACCTGTAACAACAAGTATAAGTATTCTGAAACATGTCCAAACTCTTCAAGGAACAATTTAAAAATGTATAAGGAAAGATGGCTTTTCATTGCCAGTTGTTTTGGATGGCTAGGAAACTTGGTCTACTGTGTTTTGTAGGAAAAGTTCTTTCTTCTTTAAAAAAACAGTTTCTGTTAAGGGTATTTTATATAATGTTTCAAACATCACGACCAGAGAGTTAAACTGAGCATTCTCTTCCCTTTTGGAATTTTGAGAGCTTTGAAGAACTGCGCTGGGATGAAGTGCAAGATAAGATAATCTATTCTAATTCCAGAAGAGGAAACACTTAATAATCTTGGCTCTGAAAGCCACCAAAAAAGCCTTTAGGATTTTTGTGGTTTTTATGTTGCAGAAATGGACTGACCCCAACTTTAATGTATGTATTGCCTCCTGCAAGCAATTCTTTAAAGACTGTGAAGCATTCATGAAAGTACGATGGACGTACCTAGTTTCAGATGAGAGGCAGAACGGTAATAATATGACGGAGAAGCACTGGGATGCAACATTCTATCTCCAGAGGGCTGAAGCATTCATTCAAATTTTTCATTTTGCTTTTGTCTACCTTAATTGTTGTCTTCGTTGTTCACAGTCATCATCATTTACTCTTGATGGATACGCTTCTGCCTACTGCCTTAAAGGATCTGTGGGCCATGGCCCGTTTCCTGATTCCAGGGATTTCCCAGTCCTATCTGGATTTTACAAAGGTAACATCTGAGGAGGGGAATGAAGATGATTACCAGAGAGTTGCAGTGAGAGTATGTCTCCCTGGAGGATAGTGTCTTAATACTGGTATCTCTTTCTCTGAGGAAATACAGTTAGGAATTAATGTTTTGTATTCTTTTAGGTAGTGCAGTCATTTATTTTGCGGAGGTCGAAAATTCATGTTGAGAAGCAGTTACCAAGGAGATAGGAGCAGGTGCTTACATGTACTTTTTCTAATTGGCAGAAGTCAATGTATAAAGACTTCTTGTCTCAACCAAGGTACATCTGTTGAGTAGTTCTTAATTGTTCATTCATCATTAAAGTTAGGAACCGTTCCAGTTACAACAAGAGAGCTTGTTTGCTGGTGTGTTATTTCTAAGCGAGTCATGGGCAAACCTAAAGGTTAAAGCACGTTGGCATAATCATAGTGTTGTGCAGGCTAATCATGTTCTACACTTAGTGGTAATTGCATTCATCCACTTATTCATTATGTGTTTGTTTATTTAGATCTAGTTGTTTTACAAGGTGAAAAGAAGCATAAATAAACAGTATTTGCACTTTATGGGACAAACTATATATAGGACAAAATATTTATAACTTAGACAATTGACCATGTGTCACAGTTTTTGTCTAAATTTAGTTCTTAAGTTATTTAGGAACTGAATATCCTAGGTTATACGTTACATTGCTTTTCTGATATGTCTAGTTTGTATTTTTCAGTGAATTTGGTAATTTAAGGTGGTATTTATTCAGGTGTTAAAAAAAAAAAAAGGCCTTAATATTGACAATATGTGTTTCAGATATTATCCAATGTCATTTCCATTTGAAATAGAGTGGCTATTTGAGAAATTCAGGTTTATCATAATCTGAATTTTAAAATAAGAATATATTCTATAAATCTAATAAAGTTTGTGTGAATGTGAGAGAAGCCGGAAGAATAGAAGATTGCATTTTTAAACTCATACTTTTCCAAGTTTGATAACTTGGTGTTATCAGATTTATTCAGAAAAACAATTTCAGTTTGCAGAAAGACCTAAGCTCCTAAAAAGCACTGTTTTTTAAAGATAATTTAAATTATATTTTAATTTTAAATAACAGAACTCAAGAATGTCTTAGAAGTGGGCACTTTGTCAGCGTCCTCCATATTCTGACGCAGCTGCTAAGGGTGTGTAACCATCCTGATCTGATAAGTCCCCGGCTTCCAAGTTCTTCCCTTGTATTGGACACGCTGGAGTTTACAACTGCTTCTCTAGTGCTGAATGCATTAGGATGGGATCTTTGGGAGGTGAGCAGGGAAGTAATTCTCTTGTGCTGGACTTGATTTGACTGGGAGAGCAGGTGGCTTAGGACATAAAATTTCTTACACATAACTCAGGTTCCAATTAAATTTCAAAATCTGAATTGCTAATTCATTTATTTTTAGAAGCAACTGCTAAGACTATAAATAATAACCATTGACTTTATGCTAGTACTGAATTCAGTAGGTATGCTGGGAATTTGCTATCCTTGTCAAGGGTGGTCAGACTATTTTGCAACATTTTTTGGTTTTGCTTAAAGTTCCCAATGAACCAAAACTGATGGGCCTTGGGATCAAGGGAAAACTGCCATTCTTGTCCTGTCCTGAGGAGCAGTAAAGGCATAGCTGTGTACAGCTCTGGAGGTGAGAAGCTGCCTCAGATGCCACAGTTTAGTTTTAACTATAGTCTGTTTGTTAAAGTTATATTGCAAGGGATTTCATCCATTTTTTTTTCTAGTGATTTCAGCAATAGTAGAGGCTTAAGAAAGACTGGACAAAGCTAAAACAGTAGCATTATGTGTCCTGGGAAATTCAAATAGTTACTCCTTTAAGCCTGTTGGAAAAATCATTTTGGGGCGGGAGGGACAGGGTGAGTGTGAAAGGCTTGTGAAGGAAGTAGGGTTAAGGTACCAAGGTGGGAATGGATGAGCCTGGTGGGAACGAATGAGCCTGGAATGACAGTTCCACAAAGACAAATGTTTTAATTACAAGCATTGAATTAACTGCAGAGCTTGTAATTTGAGGGTGCTCTCCTGTTTTTGACTCTTGGTAACATGAGCATAATGCTCTATTTTCATGGTGTAGGTTGCTGAAACCTTTTAAAGTAACGGCAGCTGCTCTCTGCAAAACCACGTGACAGTTGGCTCCTCCACGTTTTGGTTTAATTCTGGCATCAGCTGTTGTGAGCTTTTTAATCATTCTCAGATAATTTGGCACAAATACTGCCAAAACTGAAGGTAACTAGGAAGCTTATTGAAGAGATCTACTGTTCTCCTTCGTCACCCAGACTCGAGCCGATGAAGCTCAAACCAAATAGGTATGCAGAGTTCCAGTGACTGATTTATTGATTTATTTATTGTAAGTAACAGGTGAAAGTGAGTAATATTTGTGAGGGTGAGAGGGCTCATTCAGAAGCATTTGTTTTTCTTGCTGTCTTTTGTTTCCAAACTGATCACTGCTAAAGACTGTATGCTAGTCTTCTGAGGGAAAGCAGACTGCTTTTTACCACTTAATAGTTCTTTTCATTTACAAAGGCTCAGTTGTGATCTTCCCTGCTAAACTCAATAGAGTTCAAGTCTGTTGTGGTTTTGATCAAACAGTGGAAGTGACTTCTGCAGTGGAGTCTCCTAAGCAGAATAATTAAATCTTCTCCTTCTGATTAATTTTAAGTCTAAGATGTGCTTGCAAAGCACTTAAAGAAGTCTTGTTGGGTTTTTTGGGGGGGGCGGGGGAAGGGGAAGAAAAAAAGGTGTTCTGTTAAATTTTGACCTTTTGTTTTTGCTATTAATGACTCTTCTCTCTGAAGAGCAGTTGGGAGGGTTCATTTTTGAGTCTTGGAGCGAATGTAATTCTGCTGTAGAGCAATGTAGACGTAAACATTTTGCAATAATTAACCTGGTAAGAGCAGAGTATGGTTACTGAAGCCCAGGACAGCTTGTGTCACACGCGGCTGTAACAGGTGACAAGGAGGATGTCCTGCACTAGTTCTGTTAGGCAGCTCTGCCAGGAGGGAGCTTTGTCAGTTAATGAAATTTAAGAATTAGAAGCGATAGCTAAAATATATATGTAAAGCAGAAAAAGAACTCATTCTTTTACCGTTTAGATGTTTTCCCTGAAGTTGTCTACACGAAACAGTTACTGTGAAGTCAGCTTTTACAATTGCGGTATGTTGTTAAAACCAGACTGCCTGAAGATGCATGGAAGTAGAGATCCCCTGCTTTCTGTACTTACATTGCACCTAGCCATAGTTAAGCCTTTGCTCCATTAAGTTGGATCCTTATTAGCATCTTTTGGGGAATTTTCTTGCTGTCTTCAGACTCCAAAGATGACTAAGGAATATGGGAGATCTGTCATGCTTGTACCCCTCCACGTAATCTTTCAGAGAAGACTGGAGCTTTAGAGCATTTGGTGTACTTGCATTTTACAGTATATTGTGTTTCTTCTGCGTGTTGAGAGAAGCAGAATCCCTCCTGCCGTATGCTCTGCAGCTGGGCACCTCTTCTAGCTCAGATTACTGACTAAAAATAACTTTGCTTTTTAACTTGATTTTGTATTAGGAAGAAGGGATTAACAACTTCCTCGTGTATGGGGGTTTTTGTATGTGTAGAAACCAAATTTGTTAATTTTTGGGTTATTTACACTGGTGTGGTATGGACAGAAGCCCGAAGGTAGGACTAGAGACTTCTCAAGGTCTCAGCTGCAGCACACAGTGGACACAGCAACAGTTATGGCAGATCATAATGAGAAAATACAAAGATGACAACCCCTTGCCATGTTTTCAGAAAATCAGCATAGGAAAAGGTGTGTTGTACGTATAATAAACCATTGCTTTCTGGTTTGCTGTCTTTTTTTTTTAAATATTGCTTGAATTTGGGGAAGAAATGAGGTTGTACTGAATGCATTTGTGCATTACATATTTGAATATCAAGTTCCATTAGCAGTTTTCTAACAGAAATTCGCTCACAAAATCAAAACAAAATTCCTTATTATCTATCAGTCTGTCTTTTTTAAACAGAATGATACTACTGTGCAAACACTGGAAATTTTGCCGACAGTTGCGTTGGTCTCCAGGTATACCATCTTAGTGAAACTGTCTCTTCAGACCTGACCTGCAGCGTGTGAGAGCTTTCCACACGTGTCAGTCTTAACTGACTGATCGGATTTAGGCATCATCACTGTCCCGTTCTCTGGGTCTCTGTTGAGCCACTACTAAAGGTCATTATGAACTGGGTCTTTTTTATATGACACAGCCCTTTGGAACAGACTGTTTCCAGATGATTGGGGATGTAGTGCAGTATTTCAAGCACGCTCTTTTTCAGGCCTTTTCTAAATTCTCTACGTAGTGATTTCAGCTGGGTACAGTATAAGTTTTTGCATGGTTGAACAGGAAGCATTCAGTATGAAGGTAGACTGAAAATTATATCTGATAATTACTCTTTTGTGGTCTTAACTGTTTTAAGAACTTCTTTCGTTGCTAAAAATGAATTGTGCAGGAAAAGATCTCTTATACTGTTGTCCCACAAGCGGGGTCCGGTACCCGGTGTGCAATAAGCCAATCTTACACCCAGAGCCGAGATACTCATTTATCTCATGTTTGCGCAAAGATGGGTGCTAGGTGGTAATTCCACAAAGCTAGCACACCACACAGAAGAACTGCAGCGTATTTATCTTGTTACATGATTAGTAAAAGCCCGCCTAAGTTCATGTTACTCTTTTGGTCTTAACTGTTTTAAGAACTTCTTTCGTTGCTAAAAATGAATTGTGCAGGAAAAGATCTCTATACTGTTGTCCCATAAGCGGGGTCCGGTACCCGGTGTGCAATAAGCCAATCTTACACCCAGAGCCGAGATACTCATTTATCTCATGTTTGCGCAAAGATGGGTGCTAGGTG